AAATTCCTCTTAACCCTAGGCCTGGCCGTTAGGAAAATCTTTTTCTGAGCCAAAGAATCTCATACTTTTAGGTTTACACTTTAAGACATTTTCTCAGGATTAATTGGAAGTTCCTTAGAGGCAAAAATAGTCATTTACTTTTATTATTTCCATAGAAACTAATAGAACTGGACAAGAAGCAAGACTTAGGTTTAATTGTGTGCGGACTTTATTTCAAGTGGTTTTCCTTGTCTTAACAAGCTAGGCAGAATTTGTCAGCATTGTGTTATGTAGAATAGGACCTGGTTAAAACAGAAAACTATGTTGAGAAAAATGCCACCTCCTCTAAAGCAATGTGAATGGTAGTGGTTATTCCCTCAAATGAGTCTTTTTGGAATATGAGAACTCATTCCAGTGAAGCTATCGTTGCTGAAAACATTTTTGGATCTTCTTTTCTTTTGTGGAAAGAAAGATTACAGTAAGATGAAAAGGATGTACTCAGGTGCCCTGGCCTCACTGGGGTTTGATCACATCTCCTCTACTTAGGAGTGATGTGGCCTTCAGCAAAGGAGTCTGGTATCTCGACTCTAAAAGGGTGATCTCAGATGCCATGGCTCATGCCTGTAATCCCAGCACTTTGGGAAGCCAAGGCAGGTGGATCACTTCAGGCCAGGAATTTGAGACCAGCCTGGCTAACACGGTGAAACCCTGTCTCCACTAAAAATATAAAAATTAGCCAGGTGTGGTGGCACATGCCTGTAGTCCCAGCTATTCAGGAGGCTGAGGCAGGAGAATCACTTGAACCTGGGCTTGAACCCGGGAGGCGGAGGTTGCAGTAAGCCGAGATCATGCCACTGCACTCCAGCCTGGGTGACAGAGTGAGACTCCGTCTCAAAAAAAAAAAAGAATCTCATCTATATACACATCTATTTGAGACAGTCTTGCTCTGTCACTTAGACTGGATTGCAGTGGTGCAATCATAGCTCACTGCAGCCTCAACCTCTTGGGCTTAAGCAATCCTCCTATCTCAGCCTCTCGAATAGCTGGGACTACAGATGCACATCAGCAAGCCAGGTTAATTGTTTTATTCTTTGTAGAGACAGTCTCTCACTATGTTGCCCAGGCTGGTCTGGAACTCCTGGGCTCAAGTGATCCTCCCACCTTGGCCTCCCAAAATATCTGGGATTACAGGTGTAAGCCACCAAGCCTGGGCCAGTACATCTCTTTGTACACCAGTAGTTGTTTCTTAGCCATGGAATGAATACGATTTTTCGGAAATAGCCAAGCTATTTGAAACCAAATCTGTTAAATAAGTACAGAATAGTGATTTTGCTTTTTTAAAAAACAAAGGTTTTTTGGACAATATAACGAGAGGGCTTTCATAGCTAGTTGATTAGATACATGAGAAAAATCAGTTCTTACAGAATTCTAAATGGGATATTTGGTTTCCCAAGATAAATTACTTAAAGGACACTATATGAAGAATTGACATATGATGTGTTTGCTTAAAAATGCACTCTGCGGCTGGGTGTGGTGGCTCATACCTGTAATCCCACCACTTGGGGAGGCCGAGGCACACAGATCATTTGAGGTCAGGAGTTCAAAACCAGGCTGGCCAACATGGTGAAACCCCATCTCTACTAAAAATGCAAAAATTAGCTGGGTGTCGTGGCATGCACCTGTAATCCCAGCTACTTGGGAGGCTGAGGCAGGAGAATCGCTTGAACTCAGGAGGCAGAGGTTGTAGTGAGCTGAGATTGTACCACTGCACTCCAGCCAGGGCGACATCTCAAACCCCCCCCCCCCCCCAAAAAAAAAACACCAAAGCACTCTGCAAGCTTACTGGCTAACTCTTGTACATTGCAGCTGGGAAAGTTTGATGCCTCTGAGGGCGATGCCAAAGCCAGGCGGGCTGCTGCGGCGTGAGCATGGAGTAAACACATCAAACTTCATCACAGATGGCGGATGATGACTGCGGTGGGAAAACCCACACAGGGACCTGCAAGCACGTCTCAGGAAGAGCTGTCTTACTAGGGGCAAACTTATGGTAAAGGATGACGCCATCATTTGATAAAATGTTCTGTCATACTTTTAGCGGCGAGTTTTTAACAAGAAAGCAAAACACCCACCATGAACCAAATGTTAACATCAATGTCAACCAAGTCACATCATTTCCTGTTCCACTTGGTTTTGAAATTCAACTTCTCCTTTATTTAAAAATGACATATCAAAACCAGTCTTCTTGAAGAGGTAACTTAGGAAATAGAGCAATTTACTGTGGCTTTAGAGGATGTAAAGGGCTTCGTGCAGTCAGACACGTGCAGGGCAGCAGCTGGAGGCACGAAGACATAGGGCCATCACTCAATGTGGTCCCCGGGCCAGCGGCAACTGCACAACGTGGAGCTCCTTAGAAAGGCAGGATCCTGGACCTCACCCGGTTTCAGAACCTACATCATTTTTTTTTTCTTAATTTGCAAAAATTTATTCATATACAAATGTGCAATGTCAATAATATGACCAATTCGGTTTGTTCTTGAAACATTTTCAATTGAACAGGAATTAAGTGCTTTTGAAAAGTGACAAAATGATCATACAGTGAAGATGTCTCTTTATATAACAGGTATAAATCAGGTACTAACTCTTGATTTTACTCGGAATTAACCATGACATACTAAACGAACTTGGGCTTCCGGCAGAACCTACATCTTAAGGCGAGCTCCAGGGGATGGGTAAGCACATTAAGGCTTAGGAAGCACTGTTCTAGGTAACAGCTCAGGTCTCTGGGCTTAGCACTACAGGGAGAATGTGACTAGGAAACGGAGACTTGGGTTCTGATCTCAGGCTTACCACTAAATACTTGCTGTTTCCCATTAGCCCTGCCTGCTTCTCAGGACTGTGGAAGACCAAATGGGATCCTTATTAACAAGGTTCTGTAAGATCTGGGCCCAGCCTGTCTCAGACCTTATCGTGGACTACTTTCTATTTTGAGTTGGGCTTTGTAGCCAGGCTGACCTCAAGCAGAGCTTGTTTCTGCCTCAGGGCCTTTGCACAGGCTGTCTTCTCTGCCTGGAACACCCTCCCTTTTGACCTCTACACTGCAGTTGCCTCCTGTTAATCAGATCTCAGCCTAAATGTTGTCTCTTCAGTGAGACCCTCCCAGACCACCCAGTCCAGTGTCCCCGGTAAGTCTAACTCTTTAACTCTCTGCAAGGCACTTCTCACTCCATCCAAGCAGGGACTGAATGTCTTACTCCTGGTTCAAGGCACTGGTGCCTTGAACTATGCCTGGCATACTGTGTGCTCAACGCACATTTGTTTAATGAGTAGCTTAAAGCGGTAAAGACACTGGAAAAAACAAGGGACTGCACGAGTATCAAATACCTTTGTCAAGAAATAAAACCTCCCCAAGCCGTGTGCGGTGACTCAATTCCAGCACTTTGGGAGGCTGAGGTGGGTGGATCACCTGGGGTCAGGAGCTCGAGACCAGCCTGGCCAACATGGTGAAACCCCATCTCGACTAAAAATACAAAAAATTAGCCGGGTGTGGTGATGTGCATTAGCTACTCAGGAGGCTGGGGCAAGAGAATCTCTTGAACCTGGGAGGTGGAGGTTGCAGTGAGCCGAGATCATGCCACTGCCACTCCAGCCTGGGCAACAAGAGGGAAACTCTGTCTCAAAAAACAAAAAAGAAAAACAAACAAACAGACACCTCCCTTGCCTTCCCCTACTGATTTCTCTTGGAAATGACAGCAGTGTTACCCTGATTACTCTCGCAGCCCATATCCTGCAAATGGAAATCTGCCAACTTCATCCAGGAAGAAAAGATGGAATGCAGGTTGTTTTTTTATCGCATTTCAAGGAACGATCATTCATTCACTGCCTATACCTCCTTCCTTCCAGCATCACTGTGAAACTCTGCAGGCATATTAGGTTAATTTCATCCATTCCTCTTGAAAAAGTGAAGGACTTAAACCAGAAAAGCGGCCACAGAGGTCACAATACATGATGGTTAACGTCACTCCGTTAACAGTGCCTTGGCCAAGGACAGCCAGATGGCCCGGAGGCTGGCCTGGCAAAGCCGCTGGAGAGTTGGGGAGGGCTGCGGGTTAACAGCAGGGAGCACATACTTCATTAGACTACAAGCCGGGAGCTGTCCAGAGGTGCCTTCTGCCACAGAATGGAAATTTAATAATGGTTTATTGGTTTAGTTGTGATTTTCAGTTAAGCATGACAGAAATTGGTTTTAAGTCCAATAATAGAGGTTCTAAAATGTTAGTTCACACAGTCTAATGATGTATGACGGGAGAAGGCCACAGCTGTTTAATCTATTTACAATCTTCCCAGCAGAAAGGCTAAATGAACTCTCATACCATTATCAGGTCAGGGCTAAATGCAGCCCCGATCACAGGCAGTGATGCCTTCTTATGAACTACCTCTGCTTGACTTTCCTTAGCTCAGAAAATACTACAAAGGGAAAAGGCGTGCTGAGAGCCTCTGCTGCTCTGCCAAGTATACAGAATAAACAGAGCAATGGCCCCATCTACTGACACAGGCTAAGGCGGCACACAGGACGTGCGGCAACACAAGCAATCCTGCCTCAAGCTCCTCTTCACGCCTGTGACCCACGGCACTGCTGAGGAATGTCTGATGCCTAGTGAACTACTTTATTATTGTCCTCAGGCACAAGGTAATACGAGGGGTTTCTAGTATTTTCTCTAGGGTTCCAGGTCTTCATTCCTGTGTATGCCATTTTTTATTTGTTTATTTTTTTTGAGACGGAGTCTTGCTCTGTCGCCCAGGCTAGAATGCAATGGCACGATCTTGGCTCACTGCAAGCTCTGCTTCCCGGGTTCACGCCATTCTCCTGCCTCAGCCTCCCGAGTAGCTGGGACTACAGGGCCTGCCACCATGCCTGGCTAATTTTTTGTATTTTTAGTAGAGATGGGGTTTCACTGTGTTAGCCAGGATGGTCTTGATCCCCTGACCTCATGAGTTTATACCTAGTTTTTTTTTTTTTTTCCGAGACAGTCTCGCTCTGTCACCCAGGCTAGAGTGCAATGGCACGATCTCGGCTCACTGTGACCTCCTGCTCCCAGGTTTAAGCGATCCTCCTGCCCCAGCCTCTCGAGAAGCTGGGATTACAGGTGCTAATTTTTTTATATTTTTAGTACAGATGGGGTTTCATCATGTTGGTCAGGTAGGTCTCGAACTCCTGACCTCATGATCCGCCTGCCTCGGACTCCCACAGTGCTGGGATTACAGGCGTGAGCCACCATGCCTGGCTGTTTATGCCTAGTTTTAAATTAGCTGGACAGCTCCAGATGCAACCAGAGGTGCAATGGTTTTGTATCGGATCAAGTGCTGTGAGCCCTTTTCCAGGTCAATCACGTAGTCCCTGAAAAAGAGGGAAACATATTCGCCTGTAGAGCTCGGCTGGCCCTCCATTGGGAGGAATGTGCCCACTGTGAAAGACGCACGCCACTCACCTCTGCTCATCTGTGTCTGGTTCTACCAGTATGTTTTCTTGTCGTTCTCTCACTCTCAGAAACACGTAAGAATCTAGATCTGGTTTGGGAACTGCCAGGAAAATAATAATGTGATCAGGAAATGCTCGGCCAACAAAGTCAACAAAGGAAAAGTTGCTGGGAGGTATGGCACACTCAGGGTTTAGATAGGAGTCCAGCCCTTTCCTATTCTTCTAAGATGCAGACAGAGTGGCTGACCAGGGAGGGAACTGGACACGGATTGGGCCTTTTGTTTTCCTCAGGCAAAATGACCAATTCAGGGTTTCACAAGTCTGATATGGGTCTGACTTGCAGCTAGTGTTATGGGTTACACTGTGTCCCTGCAAAATTCATGTTGAAGCCCTAACCCCCAATACTTCAGCATGGGATTGTATTCGGAAACAGGGCTTTTAAAGAGGTAATTAAGTGAAAGTGTGGGCCCTAATCCAATCTGACTGGTGTCTTATAAGTAGAGAATAGGCCAGGAAGTGGCTCATGCCTGTGATCCCAGCATTTTGAGAGGCTGAGGCTGGAGGATCAATTGAGGCCAGGAGTTTGAGACCAATCTAGAAAACAATAGCAATACTGTCTCCACAAAAAAATTTTAAAAATAATAGCCAAGCATGGTGGCACATGCCTGTAGTTCCAGCTACTTGGGAGGCTGAGGTGGGAGGATCACTTGAGCCCAGCAGTTCAAGGCTGCAGTGAGCTATGACAGCATCAAAGTACTCCAGCCAGGGCAACAAAGCAAGACCTTGTCTCAAAAAATAAAAAAACAAAAAAAAAAGGGCGGCAGGAGGGAGGGGACTAGGACACAGAGACTGGGATTAGTGATCTTATGGAAGTAGCCTGAGAGTCTGCTTGCCCCTTGCCCTTTGCCCCTTCCCTTCTCTGTGACAACATATGGAAGGCGCCATCGATGAGGAACAGGCCCACGGCAGATACTGAACCTGTGGGGGCCTGGATCCTGGACTTCCCGGCCTCCAGAACTGTGAGTAGCCCAAAGGGACCAAGACCTTGTTCCACCACCACAGGGGTGGCCGTGTGGCCCCCAGCCCCAGCAGAGGCTAGGCAGAGACGAATTTCCAGGGCTCGGGTGCACTGGAGCTCGTGGCCTTGGAACACTAAGCTCAGCTTGTAGACAAGGCGGGCTCCAGACCCCTGGAGGGCATTTGATTTGGTGTGGCAATTTTGCCTGAGGCAGTCTTGCTTGGATCTGGCGCACTGTGAAATACTGAGGAACATGGGCTTAATCCTGTAAGCCAGGGGCCCCCGGTGGGTTGATCCACGGTTAAGGGCTCTACCTATACCTCCCTTTCCTTGCTCAGCAGCCCTCAGGAGCCGGTGCAAAGAGGCCCGTGGAGGGGCTCCAGCCAAGCTGCCCTTCTCCGGCTTCCCTCCCTCGTCTTTCCATACCCTCCAACCTGCTCCCTCTTCCAAGGCCACAGGGACTCAGTGGAGGTCTCCCTAGCCTCCTGTTTCAGCCCTCCCCTCCAGCTAGGCGGGCCCTGCGCATTCTGGGACCCGTGAGGAAGAGACCGCCAGCCCCTCAGAGCAGGGGCAATGTTGGCGTGGGCTCTGCAGCACTGGTACTCGGGGCTGCCAGCACCTCGCAGAGGCTCAGCAGATGGCTAGCTACTGAAGGCGAACGTAGCTCCATGCCCGAGTCTACAAGCACCAGTGCAGTCACGGGGCTCAGCCCACCCCAGGGAACACGGAAGCAATGCTCAAATGACTACCATTGGATCTGCTTTCTGTTATTTTTTTGGATTTTAGCCAGAACCCTTCCTCTCCTTTCTGTTTATCTACATACTTATTTTCCCATATTTGGGTAAAAACAATGAAGAGAGGATCCTACCCTGGGACACCTGAGGATGGGTGGGTCACCTGCAGGGAGAATGTCCTGTTTACCTGCCCGAAAGAGGTCCACCTTCTGTAAGTTAGGGGGCATGTGCTTCAAGGCGACATTTTTCAGATAGGTCTCTGTGTTCACCATGAACCTGAAAGACATGGATTCAAATTGCTGAGGTGTGCACAGCTGATGGACATCCAAGCTTAGCAGGCAGCAGCGCACAGCCCTCGAGGACAGGCCTCAGGCTGAACCAGCCAGGTGCCCCATGCCGACAGCTCACTCACTCACTCTCTGGCAAAGGCCAACTCTTCCGGGGAGAGGCTGGAAGGCTCCCCCTCGGGCCGGGTTTTCTCCTTCTCAAGGACATGAGGGAAAAACTTCTCTATCTGTGAGGATAAAGCAAAATCTTCATGAAAACGTCGGTAAAAGTCAAAGACAAAGATGTGGTTAACATAAAGAGGGTTTACACAACTCTCCCGAGGAAGGACGTGTGGTCTGGAGGTGGGACAGTGTGGGTAGAGAGGCACACCATAAGACACGGGACAACATCTCTGAGACACCCTTGCAGGCAAGCTGTGGACGTGGGGCTGGGGAACAGCTTGGATTGGAAGACTCCTAAGTGGCTGAACAAAGAATGCTGACTCAATGGGTAGATGTCAAACTGTAAGGAAGTCTTTGGTGAGAGATCCTTAACACAGTCTAATTAATATTCACATAAGGTTTTTTTTTTGTTTTTTTTTGAAATGGAATCTCATTGTGTTGCCTAGGCTGGAGTGCAGTGGTGAGATCTTGGCTTACTGCAACCTCCACCTCTCGGGTTCAAGTGATTCTCCTGCCTCAGCCTCCTGAGTAGCTGGGATTACAGGCACCCACCACCATACCCAGCTGATTTTTGCATTTTTAGAGATGGGGTTTCACTATGTTGTCCAGGCTGGTCTTGAACTCCTAACCTCAGGTGATCCACCTGCCTTGGCCTCCCAAAGTGCTGGGATTACAGGCATGAGCCACTGCCCCCTGGCTGGTCATCACCAGCTTTTGGTCATCAAAAACCTTATGTGGGCCGGGCACAGTAGCTCATGCCTGTAATCCCAGCACTTTGGGAGGCTGAGGTGGGTGTGGATCACCTGAGCTCAGGAGTTTGAGATCAGCCTGGCCAGCATGGTGAAACCCTGTCTCTTCTAAAAATCAGGCGGGCATGGTGGCATGGGCATGTAATCCCAGCTACTTGGAAGGCTGAGGCAACAGAATCACTTGAACCCAGGAGGGGAAGGTTGCAGTGAGCTGAGATCGCACCACTGCACTCCAGCCTGAGCAACAGAGCGAGACTCCGTCAAAAAACAAAACAAAACAAAACAAAAACACACACAACCCAGCAAATAAAAAAACAAGGGGGCTGATGACATAAAGTATTAAGAGACAGCTAATACATTAGGTGACAGATCAGGATCCAGAGACAAGGGAAATGGCCCAGTTTAATAAGATAAAGTTTAAGAGGAATAAGTATCAAGCCCTACACTTAAGGAGCCAAAACCTAAGCCGTGCAAGTAGAGGACAATGACTGGATGGGATAATTGTCATATTAAAAGGGGTTAGCGTCCATGTGAGTGAAGAATGAGCTCAGGCAGCGTACCTGTCAATATGCTAATGTGATAAATATGCTAATGTGATGTGGTTGGCATTACTACCAGCTTAATAATCAGAATAAGAGAAATGATCAGGCTGTTTTTCACAAACTTGGTCAAACTACAACTGGGATACTGTGTTTAGTTTTAGATAGTGTAACTTAAGAAGGATAAAGACAAACAAGAACCCTTTTAGAGACCAGGAGAGTGAATGGTTTGAATGGCTAAAATGTGTGCCTGAGAGAAGACTTCGAGGAGACTGTGGGCAGTCTTCAGATAGTTGAAGCATTCTCGTGTAGAAGAGATAATTTATTTTATTTGTAATAACTAAAGAGACACATAGAACCAAAGGAAATGTCAAGGAAGTAGGAATTTCTCAGGGTTATAAAATAGGAATGTTTTGCAATCTCTTTTCCTTTCTTTTTTTTTTTTTTGAGGCGGAGTCTCGCTCTGTCACCCAGGCTGGAGTGCAGTGGCACGATCTCAGCTTACTGCAACCTCCACCTGCTGGGTTCAAGCAATTCTCCTGTCTCAGCCTCCTGAGTAGCTGGGACTACAGGTGCCCGCCACCACGCCCGGCTAATTTTTTTATATTTTTAGTAGAGATGGGGTTTCACCTTGTTTGTCAGGCTGGTCTCAAACTCTCCTGACCTCAGGTGATCCACCCTCCTCAGCCTCCCAGTGCTGGGATTACAGGCGTGAGCCACCATACCTAGCCTGCAATTTCATTTTTGTAAGTTAGATAGCCACCAAGCTGTAGGCGAATGTAAGTCATCCTGGTTCATTTGACACTGACGCTGGCCATCTGACAGGCAAAATAATTTTGGAAACAAGTTCTCCTCTAGTCAGCATTCCCTATTCACCAACGCCAACGACTCTCCCTTCAGCACCGCCATGCTGTAATGCAAGGGGGCACCAATCACTCAGCAGGTGAACAGACTAAAAATGTGTGCGGTGTTCCCGCAGGGGGCAACACATGCCTCTCTGTGCTTCTGCGGAGCAATCTCTCGCTCTCCTTACACTTTAGCTACACTGATATTGGGCTCTCAGCAGTGTCTTCAGGTCCTGCACCCTCCTGGGCCCCAGTCCAAGTTCTCCCCAGGACATTCAGTCTGCTTTACAGACTGCACCGTCTCAATGCCTCCAGGTATCTCCACGTCAAACCTTCATGAGGCGACACCGCAAGTAGCTGCTGAGGACGTAGCGGATCCTCTCCATCTCCATTTGGTGGATGCTGACCTTCAGGTCCTCCCTTTTGGCTCTCCTGAGATTTTCTTCCTATTAAATGAGAAACTAAGGTTTATAAAAAACATGTTCAACCATCATCATTGACAACGTTGAGGACCCAGACTATGTTTCAGTCCAAGGAAAACAAAAATATCATGTGAGTTTTCATTTTATTTTATCATTGTATAAAGTGCAAACAATAGTCATTTACTTTTAGAAAATGACCATTTGAATAGAATATGTTCAGCCAGAGGGTTCCAGAAGAACTCCAGTCCGATTGTAAGGAGATAATACAGCACACAGAAGAAACTTCCATCGGGCCTAAAAAGCAGTATTAAAACACCAGCTGAGAAACTGTGAAATATTCACATTTCACAGCTTCTCTGAAGGTGACAACGATTTAGACTTAGATAATCTAGGCCAGGGACCACAAACTCAAATGTCTGCAGGGGCCAGGTTAGGAGGCTACAAGAGAAGGGTGGGTAGTCAGGGACTGTGGGGAGCAGGGAGTATATGGATGGGCAGCTCTCATAGGACTGCTCTGGTCAACTGTTCTCATGCACAAATGCAGGATTTTAGACTTTTCATGGGAAGCCAATATCCAGATATTTACAAGAACTCTCAAGCTTGATAAACATAGATAACTAATTCAATGTTTTTTTTAAAGAACTGGACTATGGGTTGGAGCCAAACAAAACAGATTCGCTATCAGACTGCAAGCTCTCAGTGTGCTGATCAAATCCTTTTACCTTTCTGCTCCTTTGTCAGCCCAAGACAAGCGACTCTTACCATGTGCTCCAGTTGTTCCATGACACATTCTACAATCTCAGGCTTGCTCTCCAGCAGCTCAGGGGCAAACTTTTCATTCATCCAGGCCTAAAAGACAAATGCCAGAAAAACCAAGCATCATCCACCACAGAGCTAAACAACCTTGTGAGTCAGCCCAAGTCCCACAAAAACCAGGGACGGTGCAGGCGAGAAAACTGTCTGCCCACCAACTGGAAACACCGAAGCTGTTTTGAAGACAAACTACGTTTAGCAATTGCTTTCTCATGTCTTGTTTTAGTTGGGAGGATATGTTCATAACCTTCTATCCAACTGACACTCACACAAACCCTTGCTTACTTCAGTTAGTATGACGCCTGGTGCTGAGAGTGACACCACCTGGTGCTCAAACCATGGCTTTGCCAGGCAGCCCAGGCACACTGTTACTCCACCAGCTCCTTCCTCCCAGGGAGCACCACCCCATGTCTATTTAGAGAGAAAGCAACAACCCACCAATCCACACAGCTCTTCATTCCTGAAGCTCAGAGCACTTCACAAATGTTTTTAATTCATTATCATCATATCGCAGAGAAAATGGATATAGTTATCCTCATCTGATTGAAAAAATACAGATTGAGTAATTTACTAATGGCCCCAAAGTATACAGGATCATAATAGAAACAGGCGCTCATCTATTATGGAGTTTCGGAGCCAGAGGTTAAAGCTCTAATTTATGACTCAGGCCCAGCTGTTTGGTTCATTTTAGAGACTTCTAAGGCTTAGAGAACTGAAATATCCCTAAGTGACTGACGAAAGCTACACTTATCTTTCAATTACAGGAAATGTAGTTTTAGCATAGCTCAGAATTATATGCTGACCAGGCTCAACTTATTTTTTTCTGATGTCCTTGAGTGTCTGCTTCTCTCCATGATCACCATCAAGACACATTACCAAATGCTGGGCATGGCCACTGTCATAAGTGTTTGTGCAGAGCCTGAGCATCTGCAACAGTTCTGCAGACTGAAACAAACAAACAAAACCCTGCATAATGCATGGGAAAACATCGTATTTTCTGACGGGCTTATTAGGAGCAGTATTTCTTTTTGACTGATTTTTATTAAATATTGAATAATTTTTATTTATTTATTTTTGAGGGACAGTCTCACTCTATTGCCCAGGCTGGGGAGCAGAGGCATGATCCCAGCTCACTGCAACCTCTGCCTCTCGGGTTCAAGCGATTCTCCTGCCTCAGCCTTCTGAGTAGCTGGAATTACAGGCATGTGCCACCATGCCCAGCTAATTTTTGTGTTTTTATTAGAGACAGGGTTTCACCGTGTTGGCCAGGCTGGTCTTGAACTCCTGACCTCAAGTGACCCACCTGCCTTGGCCTCTCAAAGTGCTGGGGTTACAGGTGTAAGCCACTGAGCCCAGCCAAATATTGAATAATTTTTAAAACTAGAAGAACAAGCTGGGCGTGGTGGCTCATGCCTGCAATCCCAGCGCTTTGGGAGGCCGAGGCGGGCGGATCATGAGGTCAGGAGATCAAAACATCCTGGCTAACCTGGTGAAACCCCGTTTCTACTGAAAATACAAAAAATTAGCCGGGCTTAGCACGCCTGTAGTCCCAACTACTTGTGAGGCTGAGGCAGGAGAATTGCTTGAATCTGGGAGGCGGAGGTTGCAGTGAGCAGAGATCGCACCACTGCCCTCCAGCCAGGGCAACAGAGCAAGACTCCGTCTCAAAAACAAACAAACAAACAAACAAACTACGAGAACAATGACAAGTCCCTGTGTGTCCCTACCTCCTCAGAGGTAATCATTAGCTTGAATTTCGTGTTGAATTTCCTTTATGGTCTCACTACATTTGTTCATATCTCTATAGCATACCTCTCAACTGTTCATGACAGGATATTCAAAGAAAGTGTCAGTGCTTGTCTGGTACACTGGGGTACCATTGGGGACCACTTCATTTATATTATGAAATTATGATGATAAAGTATAAAACATTAGGTGGAAGTTTATATTAGTATAAAACTTTCATATAAATCTTTCCAAAATTTTTACTGAGAAACTTGTATCAAAATCCAATCTTTTTTTTTTTTTTTTTTTTTTAAATCAGGTTTTATACTTGAAATGGCTACATCTGATTTCTGGTCACACAGTGGCACGATAATGGCTCACTGCATCCTTGACCTCCCAGGCTTAAGTGATCCTCCTGCCTCAGCATCTAGAGTAGCTGGGACTACAGGCACGTACCACAAAGCCTGGCTAATTTTAAAATATTTTTAATAAAGATGGGGTTTTACCATGTTGCCTATGGTGGTCTTCGAACTCCTGGCCTCAAGACATCCCCCTGTATCAGCCTCCAGAAGTGTTGAGATCACAGGCTTGAACCACCGTGCCTAGCCCCTGATCAAAATTCTAAATACCAATCAGTTCATTATTGCTACAGGCTTAAGTGTGTCCCCCCTCAAAAATCTACCTAACTTCCAGGACCTCAGACCGTGACTATATTTGGAGATGGAGGCCTTTAAAGAAGTGATTAAGTTGCCATAATCCAGTAAGACTGGTGTCCTGATAAGAGGTAATTTTAACACAGACACACACGAGAGGGAAGACCACGCAAGGACACAGGGAGAATATGGTCACCTACAAGCCTAAGGCAGAGTCCTGGGAAGAAGCCAACTATGCTGGCACTTTGACCTGAGCCTCTAGAATTAAGAAAATAAATTTCTATTTAAGGTACCCAGTCTTTGGGACTTTGCTCTGCGGCCATAGCAAACTAAAACAATCATTAAAATGAGCAAATCTGCACTACAGGTAATAACTTTTAAATCACTTTTTACAGGTATTAAAGGGTATCCTATATATGCTCCCAAAGCTGTTCTCATCAGTGGCCCTGTCAGGCTGTCCCTTTGGCTGTGTCACACAGCATAAGAGACAGGATCTGGTTGTGGCAGCCATGCAGGTGGTGGGTCACTTCCTTGGCTGCACTCAGGGCACTGCACTGGAACATCAGGAATGAGATGTTACTCTAGCTCAACCACCGGCAAGCCACAGTCGTGCTGTCAGACCCCCCGCCGCCCATCCTCTAGCTGCCTTTCAAGGACCCCAATGATGCTCACTTGAAAAAGCAACCAGCGTGGGGCTCTGGCTGTCCTGGAAGGTGCAGGGGTCCACACTGAGGCATCTGTGGCACAGCAGTGTACCACATCACCCAAGGGTGGTGGCTCTGCCTTGAACAGTAATTTTGCAAGTTTGAACTTTACATAAAGTTTCTTTGGCAGCTCATATTTTATGGTTGTTATTGTTCTACATTATGTTCCTGTTATTCAGGCTGTTTCAGGAGTTATTTTACTCATTTTCACTGCTATTTCCACTGTACATGGTATATTTTCTCAATGCTATTTATTTATGGTTATCTAGGTTATTTTCATTTTTAACTATTGCAAGCAATGTGTGAAAATATGGTAGATGTCTCCTAGAGTATATGCGGAAGTTTTCACTAGGTATGTACCTGGGGGTGGAATTACTGGACCACAGGTATGTGCACCTTCATCTTTACTAGACAATAACAAATTATTTTCCAAAGTGATTATACCTGTTTACATCCCATGGCAGTATATAAGTGTGCAAATTGCTCTACCTTTTTTTTTTTTTTTTTTTTTTTGAGACGGAGTCTTGCTCTGTTGCCCAGGCTGCAGTGCAGTGGTGTGATCTCGGCTCACTGCAATCTCCACCTCCTGGGTTCAAGAGATTCTCCTGCCTCAACCTCCTGAGTAGCTGGGATTACAGGCGTGACAACACGCCTGGCTAATTTTTGTATTTTTAGTAGAGATGGGGTTTCGCCATGTTGGCCAGGATAGTCTTGAACTCCTGACTTCAGGTGATCTGCTTGCCTCGGCCTCCCAAGGCGCTGGGATTACAGGTGTGAGCCACCAAACCTGGCCTGCCCTATATTCTTAATTTTTTTCTTTTTGGGATAAGATCTTGCTATGATCCTCAGGTTGGTCTCAAACTCCTGGGCTCAAACGAACCTCCCACTTTGGCCTCCTGAGTTGCTAGAACTACAGGCATGAGCCACTGCGCTCAGCTGCTCTACATTCTTGCCATACTTTACATTGCTCACGTTTTTCAGTTCTTCCAATCTGATAGATATGAAATGATAGCTCATGATTTTAATTTTCATTTTCCTGATCACTAAAAAGGTTGAACATCTTTTTCATACGCTTATTGGCCATATTGTTTTCTTCTTCTTCCAGGTATCAGTCTGTATTGGGCAGTCTGAAAGAGTTGTTTATGTACTGTGGATAATCATCTTGTGTCAGCTACATATTAACATTTTGCAAGTATCTTCTCCCAGCGTGGTGGCCTGTCTTTTCACTCTAATCCAGAAGTACAAACAGGCAGGGCACAGTGATTCACACTTGTAATCCCAGCACTTTGGGAGGCGAAGGCAGGCAGATCACAAGGTCAGGAATTTGAGACCAGCCTGGCCAACATAGCGAAACCCAATATGGTGAAACCCCATCTCTACTAAAAATACAAAAATTAGCCGGGCGTGGTGGCGCACGCCTATAGTCCCATGTACTCAGGAGGCTGAGGCAGGAGAATCACTTGAACCTGGGAGGCAGAGGTTGCACTGAACCAAGATCATGCCACTGCACTCCAGGAATGTATCCCTTTTTTCCTTTATGCTTTGTGCCTTTTTATTTTTGTTTAATGAACCCTTTCCTAATGAACAAAGAACTCTTATGCTGTTCCACAAACTAGGTCCGTGGGTGGATTTCAGGGGATCTGTGATGCCCTGGAAGTCATATGCAAAATTCTGCATGGATGCATGTGTGCATTATTCCGGGATGAAAGACCAGAGTTTTTACCAGTTTCTCAAAAAGGTCTGTGATATAAAAACAGATTAAGAATCAGTGCTAAATAGTAAAGATCATCATATAAGGTAAAATTCAAAAATTATTTTAGTTCAGTTTTGGCATTCATGATATCATGTATGGCAGGGAAGAATGAAGAATACTAAAGTCGCAAACATGAGAGAGCTCTGGAAAGGGGCAGTTAGAGCAAGAGGGTAAGGATAATTACTATGAACAGCTCACGTCTAGTGAGTGCTTACCACGTATCAGACAGCATGCTGAGTACACAATTATAATTCCACATTTAATCAACCCAAAACTCTAGGAAGGAGACACTATTATCATCTCAATTTTATTTTATTATTTTTTTGAGATGGAGTTTCACTCTTGTTGCCCAGGCTGCAGTGCAATGGTGGGATCTTTGCTCACTGCAACCTCTGCCTCCCGGGTTCAGGTGATTCTCCGTCCTCAGTCTCCTGAGTAGCTGGGATTACAGGCATGCGCCACCACGCCCGGCTAATTTTTGTTTTTTAGTAGAGACGGAGTTTTATCATGTTGGTTATGCTGGTCTTGAACTCCTGGACCTCAGGTGATCCATTCACCTCAGCCTCCCAAAGTGCTGGGATTACAGGCTTGAGTCATTGTGCCCGACACTACTATCTCCATTTTATAGTCAAGCAATGGCTTGAGACAAACTCCCCAACTTGCTTAACATCACATAACAGAGTCGTGTCAGAGACAGATTTAAATCCAGATAGTCTGAACTGTTACCAGAGCGTCATGAGATATAAGTATAAAGAACACAGTTACTGGCACATGGGAAATATGCAATAAGTCAGAGCTATTATAACTAAAAGGAGAAATATTTCAGAAAGGATTTTAGATAAGCAGTGGACATATGGAGAGCAGATGACTCAAGAAAAAAACATGTGAGAAAAAGGAAGAATATGACCAGTTTTCCCTTACGGGCATTTCAGCATTTTCTTGCTAAACAGGCATTCTCCAGGGAAACAGCAGATGTTCAAGGGACTAAGGTAAAGAAGTTAGCAGTCCCACCACACCTCTACAGTCCCTGAAAATATCACGTGGATCTTGCTCTGTGAACTGTTCACTGAATGTGCCCAAAGCTGTCTCTTACTGACCCCACTTGGGAATGCTGTGTTTGATATGATGAGGTCTCTAACAGAGGATGTCCTTCCTGCTTCCCGTTTCCATGTAGATGGTAAGATCCAGTCCCTGTTCTCCTGAAATAAGCCCTGAATTCCATTTCCTCATTTTGTGATCCCTGATATTCACAGATGAACTAAATAAAAAGGCTGACTGGAGCAAAGGGATTCGATCTGGGATGCTTACCTGCTCCAACCTTTCAATGAGCTCTGCAGGAGTTAGGACCACTTCCTCACTACCCTCATCAGAGTCCTGTCCCAGGAAATCCAGTTCTTCGGTCATCTTCTCTGAAACCAGGAACCTAATGAGAAGGAAAGAACCAATACCCTGCAATGCATTTTCTATTTATTTGCAAGAATAGACATCTATCTGGAGAAGGGAAAGGTTTATTGCGGTTTCCTGCGGTTGTAGAGGCCCATTAGCAAGTGGTGAGAGAACGCAGGGACTCTAGTTTTCCAGTATCTGCCTCTTCCTCCAAGGCTTAGGTCAGGTATCCGTTTCTCAAACAATCCTCCCCTTTATTACTGCCCACCAGGAACTGAGCACCTATCACATCATACAATCACTATTCATTTCTTTGACTTCCCAGGAGAGGTCCTGTTCCTCAGAGACGGGGTTCATTTCAGTTCAAATACGAATCGCGCCTCTGCTCAATGCCTGGCACTAAGCACTGGGGACGCAATGACTTGGGGAGCCCCTGCGCTCAGCACAGTGCTTGACTCCTAGCAGGCACTTAACATTGTTGGGAGCTGGCCGGGCTCACGCCTGTAATCCCAACACTTTGGGAAGCCGAGGCAGGAAGATACCTTGAGCCCAGGAGTTCGAGACCAGCCTGGGCAACATAGGGAGAGTCTGTCTCTATAAAAATAAAAATTGTTAGGAGGATTAATCAATGCTAATTTCCCAGAGCCACAAAGCCCGGCGACATTAGACCAGTCGGCGACTCCAAAGGCCTAAGGAAGTGGATGGCGGGGACGAGCAAAGTCCCTGGGGTCGCAGGGAAACTGCGAACAACCCCCTCCCCTTCTACCTCTCAGTGCCACCCACACAGGCCTTCCTTCGCCACAGAGGTCCCACTCGACGCTCACTCGGGGACCTGGGAGACAGCGAGGCACTCCACAGCAGCAAGCGGTAAAGACGGGGAGTTCGTGGGGACGCAGTCGGGGAACCGGGAAGCAGGAAGACAGCGGAACAAACTGCTCAAGGCCTTCCCCGGATGAAACCGAGCCTCCAACTTCTCAGCTCCCGCGCTACTCTCGGAAACTTTCCGCCTAGGCAGGACGTCATCGCGCACGGGCGAGATTGACCAGTCAAGGCGCGGGGGGGAAGAGCGGGGCGGTCTTCTTGGGCCCGCCCACCCGAGGGGTGGGGACTGTCTTCGCGGCTGCTCGCAGTCCCAGCAACCCGTGGACACTAAGCGGCTGGAGGCTGGTCCGGGTGGGCCCCGCCCACCTGGGTCGGCGGTTCGGGTCTGCGGTCCGGGTTGCACTACTCACGAGCGTCGGGAGGGGGCGCCCCGTACCGTGGCCAAGGGGAGCAGCGGTGTCCGCCCCGGGGGTTCCCACCCAGAAGTGTGCTGTTGAGAGCTGGCCGCAGCAGCCTCTTGGGTCGTCTCCACCCACAGCTCCCGTGGCTCTTTGGGTTCCTCCGTCTTTGCGGGGTTTCAGCTGTGGTCACTATGGTCAGTGCCTTCAGAATCTCCACTACATTCCTTTTTATCTTTCTTGAGACAGGGTCTTGCTCTGGTGCCCAGGCTGGAGTGCAGTGGCACCATCACAGCTCACTGCAACCTCTGCCTCCCGGGCTCAAGCGATCCTTCCACCTCAGCCTCTGGAGTAGCTGGGACCACAGGCCAGCGCCACCACGCCCAGTTACTTTTTAATTTTTTTTTTTTTTTTTTTTTTTTTTAATGTAACTATGAGGCCGGGCGCGGTGGCTCAGGCCTGTAATCCCAGCACTTTGGGAGGCCGAGGCGGGTGGATCACGAGGTCAGGAGATCAAGACCATCCGCGCTAACTCGGTGAAACCCCGTCTCTACTAAAAATCCAAAAATAAAAAAAATTAGCCAGTAATCCCAGCTGCTCGGGAGAGTGAGGCAGGAGAATCGCTTGAACCCGGGAGGCGGAGCTTGCAGTGAGCCGAGATCGCGCCATTGCACTCCAGCCTGGGCAACAGAGCGAGACTCTGTCTCAAAATAAAATAAAATAAAATAAAAATAAAAATAAATAAAATTTAAAAAAATAAAAAACTGTGGCGGGGCGGGGGAGGGGAGTTGTGTCTCCCTATGGTGGCCAGGCTAGTCTCGTACTCAAGGACCCAAGTGATCCTTCCACCTCTGCCTCACAAAGTGGCTAGTGGTTTTTGAAGCCTGGGATCTGACGACCAGCAGCAGCATCGCGTGGGACTCTGCGACAATGCAGATTCTCAGGCCCCACCCAGGCCCACTGAATCAGAAACACTGAGGGTATTTCACTAGACCCAGGCCCTCCCGGTGACCCTGACGCAGGTGAGGTTTGAGAATCACTGCTTTGGGGCAATGCTTTCAACTCAGCTTCTGGAGGGGAAAAGCAAAAAAACCCATGTCTGTATATTTATATATTTTTTCCATCTTTGTGTGATCCAGTTTTTCTTCTCTGAATTGCTGATTCTTTTCTCTTTGCTGTCCTGCATTTTCTATGCAAAGCGTTGCTTCTGGCTTCCCTAAAAGTGTCTCTTCTTCATCAGTCTGAGGGCTCTTTGTGAAGCTGCGCTGTGATGTCATATTGATTGACTAGTAAAATGATTGGCTAATATAGGATGATTGTACCCGCCTGATTACAATCCTGTTTTAAAAATGACAATAGAATAAGCTGAGTGACAGAGTGGGCATCTTTACAAAGGGCATGTAAGCTGGGGCGTAGCAGCACGGGATTCCCAAAAGGAAGGGACATTTGAACTGGGTCTTACAAAATGAATTTTGTGAGTGGCAAATAGGTGGTCATTTCAAGGTCTGTTTCAACGCTGTGTTTCAATGGTTTGGGCATCCTGTTGTTTTTGGTTTGGCAGAGTGTGTTTCCCAAACACAGCTGTTCTGACATGGATCTCACCCCACATACCCTTCTTACCATATGACACTGACATGCCTTCATCAAGAGGTGGGGTCTATGTTCTCATGTTTTATTTGTTCATTTAGAGACAGGGTCTCACTCTGTCACCCAGGCTGGAGTGCAGTGGGGCGGTCACGGCTCATTGCAGCCTTGACCTCCCTGGGCTCAGGTGATCCTCCCACCTCGGTCCCCATGAGTAGCTGGGACTACAGGTGTGCACCACCATGCCTGGCTAATTTTTTTGTATTTTTAGTAGAGATGGGGTTTCATCATGTTGCTCAGGCTGGTCTTGAACTCAGGCTCAAGTGATCCGCTCACCTCAGCCTCCCAAAGTGCTGGGATTACAGGCATGAGCCACTTTGCCTGGCCCTGTTCTTGCCTTTTACATCAGGAAAGAGCTTTTTAACTGCTTTGACCAAGAGAATTTGGCAGAAGTGATGCTGCTTGGCTTCCAGGACTAGGTCATAAAAGGCAATGTGGCTCCCACTTGACTTTTTTTTCTGGAGCCCTGTCCCTTGAGAGCTGTGGGCTGATGTGGAAGAAGTCTGGCTAGCCTGCAGTTGCTGTGCAATAGAGTCCTTATGAAGATGCCAGGCAGAGATGGGGAGCCTTACTGGACGAACCCCAGAACCCCAGTTGTTCCATTCTCCAGATGTCTGGGTTGAATGAGCCTTCAGGTGATTCCAGCTCTGAGGCTTCAAACTGTCCCAGCTAAGATGAAGGGAGCAGAGATGAGCTTCTCTGCTGAGCCCTGCCCAAATGGCAGATTTGTGAGCAAAATAAGTATTGTTGTTGTTTTAGGCCCTATGTTTTGGAGTGGTTTGTTATGTAGCATTCGATGACTGAAACAGTGGTCTTTGAGCACAATCCTATTCTTCCATAATTCTCATTACCAAATAGCTTTTCAATGATGTTTATTAATATTCCTTAAGTGTTACAGATTTGAGTCCAAGCATAGATAACGTCTCTACACAAATGCCGATTATGTAGTTTATTGATTTAAACACTTCCCTTCTCTGGGTCCAATCACCTTCTCCAATCTCCCCCGCTCCTCCACTGGAGAGCTAGAGCCTGGCTTCTGCTTCGTTACTTAATAGAGGTGTGACCTTAAATGAGTCACTTTGGATTTCAGTCACACCACCTTTTTGTTGTTGTTGTTGTTAGATGACGTTTTGCTTTTGTCCCTCAGGCTGAAGTCCAGTGGTGCGATCTTGGCTCACTGCAACCTGTGCCTCCCGAGTTCAAGCAATTCTCCTGCCTCAGCCTCCTGAGTAGCTGGGATTACAGGCATGTGCCACCGCACTGGGCTAATTTTTGTATTTTCAGTAGAGATGGGGTTTCATCATGTTGGCCAGGCTGGTCTTGAACTCTTGACCTCAAGTGATCTGCCCACCTAGGCAGGATTACAGGAGTAGGATTACAGGAGTGAGCCACCACACCCAGCCATCAGTCATACCACCTTTTTTTTTTTTTTCACTCTGTCACCCAGGCTGAAGTGCAATGGCGTGATCGCAGCTCACTGCAATCTCCACCTTCCAGGTTCTCCTGCCTCAGCCTCCCCAGTAGCTGGGGCTACAGATGCGTGCCCCCGCACCTGGCTAATTTTTGTATTTTTAGTAGAGATGGGGTTTTGCCGTGGTCGCCAGGCTGGTCTCGAACTCCTGACCTCAAGTGATCCACCTGTCTCAGCCTCCCAAAGTGCTGGGATTACTGGAGTGATCTACCACGCCTGGCTAGTCACACTACCTTTTACACAAGAATAATATGTGTCTGCCTGAAGACAGAGGGACAGACCAAAAAATTGAGGGACCCCTTTCACTTCTAAGATCTTTGATTACAACTAATATTCATTAGACAAAAACACTTCTAGAGGAAATGAGTTGGCAGTAAAATATTTCTACTATGTAGAGAAGGGTTATTAAAAGAAATGCCAAAGCAACACACAAACTTTCGGTGAAAGTGTTGATCGTTTGGCACTGTAAAGTTCAGGAAGGTGGTAGAAAAGAGGTCTTCAGTTACATTATGCAGAATGAAGAGAAAAATCAGGAACATCTGGTTGATGTGCACCCACTGTCAAGAAGTGTTTTAGAAATAATAAGATAGCCATATAAATGGAATGCGATTCATTAAAATGATCACAGATAAAAGAGGATTACATAGAATGTGATAGCAGGAGGATGAAGTTTGTGGACAGAATTTGCAGGCAAGCTTAGATGTTTTAAATTGCAAGATGAACATACTAACATGAATTCAGACAAGTAAAACATGAAGTTACATCGAAAGAGAAGGAAAAAGCTACTGCCCAAAGTGGAAGAGGAGGATACAGAAAATAGGATCCTATACAGCTGAAGAAAGTGACAAGCGACAGCAATTTCCAGATATTCTCAGTGAAGATGCTAATGGAAATTATAGACACAGCAAATAGAAACAGCCAAAATATTTGTGGGCAGCCATACATTATTATTATTATTATTGTTATTATTTATTATTTTTTTGGAGATGGAGTCTCGCTCTGTCTCCCAGGCTAGAGTACAGTGGCGCAATCTCAGTTCACTGCCCGCTCTGCCTCCTAGGTTCACGTCATTCTCATGCCTCAGCCTTCCAAGTAGCTGGGACTACAGGCGCCTGCCACCATGCCCGACTAATCTTTTGTATTTTTAGTAGAGATGGGGTTTCACTGTGTTAGCCAGGATGGTCTCGATCTCCTGACCTCGTGATCTGCCCGTCTCGGCCTCCCAAAGTGCTGGGATTACAGGTGTGAGCCACCACGCCTGGCCCAGCCATACATTATTTTTATTTTTTGAGACAGAGTCTTGCTCTGTTGCCCAGGCTGGAGTGCAGTGGCGTAATCTTAGTTCACTGCAACCTCTGCCTCTCAGGTTCAAGCGATTCTCGTGCCTCGGCCTCCAGAGTAGCTGGGATTACAGGTGTGCACCTCTATGCCTGGCTAATTTTTGTGGTTTTAGTAGAGATGAGATTTCCCCATGTTGGACAGGCTGGTCTTGAACTGCTGACCTCAGGTGATCTGACCACCTCAGCCTCCCAAAGTGCTGGGATTATAGGCATGAGTCACTGCTCCCGGCCAAAAAGATACATTATTAATGAGAACAAATTTAATTTTTTTAATCACAAAGGAAAAACGACAGTAAATACTATATATCTATACAGAATTGTGAACTTTCTGGAGAAAGATGCTT